CCCCCCCCCTCCCCCGGTGCCTCCCCTCCAGTCTCCGCTGGCGCTGCAGGATCAGACGGCGTCGGTCCTGTGCGCGGCCTCCGAGGTGCCCGAGGGGGGCTTCGGCAACGCGGTGCCCATGGTGATGCGGGGCAACTGCACCTTCTACGAGAAGGTGCGCCTGGCGCAGGTGAACGGCGCCCGCGGGCTGCTCATCGTCAGCAAGGAGAGGCTGGTGAGTCCGCCGGGCGGGACCCTCCGAGGGGGGCGGGGAGCCCTGTCCTTGGGCGCCCAGGGGGGGAGGGGGAGGGAGGGAGGGGTTGCCCGCGCCCCCTCTCTCCTCTTTGTGGGAGGAAAAGGAACGGGGTAGAAAAAGAAGCAAGAAAGACAAAAGATACTGAAAAAGTGACTTTTAATCTCGTTCCCATATCCTTATTTATACACGGAATACTGGAATGAATCCTGCATCCAGCTTTGGTCACCACATTTCAAAAAAGGTGTTGAGACTTTGGAAAAAGTGCAAAGAAGAGCAACTAAGACAATTATAGGCCTGGAGACAAGAACATATGAAGAGCGGTTGCAGGATTTGGGCTTGGCTAGTTTTAGAGAACAGAAGGACCAGGGAGGACATGATAGCAATATTCCGGTATTTGAGGGGCTGCCCCAAAGAAGAGAAGGGGGTCAAACTATCCTCCAAAGCACCTGAAGGCAGGACAAGAAACGACAGATGGAAACTAATCAAGGAGAGAAGCAACCTGGAATTAAGGAGAAACTTCCTGACAGTGAGGACAATTAATCAGTGGAGCTAGGTTGCCTTCAGAAATTGTCGATGCTTCATCACTAGAGATTTTTTTTAAGTGATCAGACAACCATTTGAAATGGTATGGAGTCTCCTGCTTGAACAGGGGGCTGGACCTCCAAGGTCTTTTCCAGCTCTATTCTGATTGAATTAAACGTCCTTGGAACTGTTTCCCCCTTTCTAAGTTGCATTGCATAGTTCCCTTCTCCCCTATTCAACCCTGAATAATCAGTACATTCAGAAATCATCACTTCATTTTTATCCATAAAATGAAAATGTTTATCCACATAAAAGTCCATAAAAGGGTTTACAGTCTTTTATAAAAGTAGTAGTTTCCTCCTTAATCAAACATTGATTCAGCCATTTCTGCAAGTTCTGCCACCTTCACAACCCATTCACCAAGGTTTAAGGTGATTCTGTCCTGTGGCAATAGCAAAAGATCCTCTGTATTGCCCTTTTCTTTGGTTACCTTGTGTTCCTAAGCACACACATCCTGTAACAATTCTAACACCTTCAAGTCTCCCTCCAATGCATGTGGGTTGAACAGAGCTGCTCTGGTACTTGTTAAATAGATGCTGCTGAGTTTAGATTTCGGGGCCACTGAAATTGAGTTGATGCTTCCTAGGCGGTGTATTTAGGTGCTGCTTTCCTTTCTACTCCTCTCAGGTGCCCCCCGCTGGTAACCGGACTCAGTATGAGGAAATTGATATCCCAGTGGCCCTGCTCAGCTATGCGGATATGCTGGACATAGGACAGGTGAGCCTCCTCCGTGTTTCTCTGGTCTTCAACATAAATCAGGCACGAGGTGCCTCTAGATCAGAGGTCCCCAACCTTTTGGGCACCAGGGACTGGTTCCGTGGAGAAAGGTTTTTCCACGGACCGAAGTGTGTTATGGTTTTGTGTGCTGCATGCACCCCACGGATGGGGCTTTGCTTGTTTGTGTGGACTGGTTGCTGGCGTGCTGCAGCCTGGTACCTGTCCACGGACCGGGGGTGGGGACCCCTGCTCTAGATAAAATGTTGGGGAAGCTGAAAAGCAGAATCATTTTTTTTCAATGAAAGTAACACTGGCCATTTAATTGATAAACGGTAGTAAATTGTGGAACAAATATACCGCCTCCCCCCCCCCAAGGAAAGAGTAGTGTTTATTTATTTTATTTATTTATTTTAATTTATATCCCGCCCTTCTCCCGGACGGGACTCAGGGCGGCTCACAACGTATATTTAAAACAAAGGTGTATATACAATCCCCCCTATAAAACCGAATTAAACCGAATTTTAGAGTTGTGTTGTTTACAAATTCCTTAAAATGAACCCAATATAAAATCCTCCCTAGGCCAGGTCCGCTTGCTGGAAAAGCCATGTCTTGAGGGCGCGACGGAAGGTAAGGAGATCCGGAATCGTCCGAATCTCAGGGGGTAGTTCGTTCCAGAGGGCAGGGGCACCC